AGTAAATTTTCTGCATAGATCGAGGCAAATTCGTTAAAATTATCGTAAAAATCTGCACAAACTTTCTCTTGTCAAAAATTACATTGGTCAATATAATTCGGCAATAGCTGGTGTGGCTTGTTTCTTTTCGGCGAATCGCGGTCTATGTCCTAATCAAAAAGAGACACGTTTGTGCTCGTAGCCAAACAGCATCAAATAAATTGCAAAATGGACCTGTTGCAAATTTCAGCTGGAATTAATTATTCCGATGTTGTTAGTTCGCCTTCCATTGCATTTGCAGCAATTGTTGTTACGAATATATTGTGCGTGCTGATTTTGGCGCATTACATATTTAACTCTCTGAAGGCGTTTCTTGTGGGAAAGTAAAGCATTCTATTGGAGGATGAAGGAAATAGGGATTGGGCGATTCTTTCAATCTCTACTTCCAATCCTGTTATTCTCCGACAGGGCGCGCTACTTGAGCATATGAAACGCCTTCAGAGAGTCAAGTATGTAATGAACTTAAATCAGCACGCACAACATATTCGTAACAACAATTGCTGCAGACGCAGCTGAAGGCGAATTGCTTGCGCAAATGAAACGCCTTCAAAGAGTCATGTATGTATTGAGCTGAAATCAGCACGCACAACATATTCGTAACAGCAATTGCTGCAGACGCAGCTGAAGGCGAATTAAAAGCAACTATATAATGGTCCTGTTGCAAAAGCACCACGTTTTTTTCCAAGCCGGTGCATTTCGGATTTATGAATTCGAATGCAGAGTCAGTTTCGAATTTGGTGGTTCATTGATTATTTGACGAGTAATTACTGTTACCGACCGAACATGGTAATACTCTGATTTTCACTGATATTTGGGTATACCACACTACAATGATACCTGATATTATACCACACCACATCGTCACGAATCAAAATATGCGTTTTCGCAGTATTACCGTCGAAAAAAATATCAAAATATTTTATAGAGCGCTTGGTAAAAAATCATAATGATATCAGCTAAAATATAGGGTCATTGGCAAAAAGTAATATCCCTTTCAGCGTGGAGTATTTTTCGCAGCGAGAGGTTCATTTCCGTATCTGGGCCCATTATTGAAGCCGGGATCCGGGGTAGAGAACCCTTTCATGGTTTCAGCCCTCAATCAGAGCCGGTGCCGGTAGCCGCGAAAATGGCTTGTTATTATTTACACTTGGTTGAACTATCTGCGGCCAATGAATTGCAGTGCTCCTCACCCCGAAAAAAGGGGTGAAAGTACATAAATTATGACTCATTGAAATAAATAGCAACATAAATACCTCGCCCTGTTAATTAATGACGCTCTGATTCCCACGCAGGTTGCCAAGTTGCACCGTGCCTCTCAAAATACGAGTAATTGTTTATGAATAACGAGGTAAAGGAGAGCAATTCAATAAGTTTTATTAGAGAGCCATGGATTTCTCACGGAGTACATTTTACAGTAGTGGAAAGTAAAAACCACAGGGGTGGTTAAATTAGCATTTTTTATAGTAAAATCTTCATTGAACAATTGCAGTTACTTTTTTAAACTACAAAATTGTTAAATCAGCGATTTAATTTCTCTGAGGAACGAATCGTTTTGAGGTGAATCAAAATAAGCTAGCCTCTCAATTCGTCCTGAGAATACAACAGAGAGCTAAGCTTAATTTAATTTGGTTGGGTTAAGCAACTAAAGTAACCTCGCGGTAATGCGTAGAGTATCGCGCAATGTTGAAGGCGCTATAGATTTGAGCCTTCGTGAATAATTGTCACTACTCTCCCACCACGTTCCTTTTAAAACTAGGCAAAGTTTACGAAGACTGGTGCTGCTGATTGAAAATTGTCACACCACCGAACGTAAAAGTTTCAACTATTGCAAGGATATACTAGTGGAGAGTCTAACTGTATTCGTCGCAGGCAATTAGTCTCTCAGGCATTTGATCAAATACCTGTGTAGATAGTCAAATTTTGACGGTTTAAAAAATTATGCCAATTTATGGCGAAGAACTCGCAATTTTTCTTTCTTTCGGGAAATATAACTCATCAAGTCTATGAACTCTTTCTTCTTATTCTCGTGACAATTTTTCACGAAGACTCAAATCTATCGCGCCTTCAATATTGCGCGATACTCTACGCATTACCGCGAGGTTAGTTTAGTTGCTTGACCCAACCAAAGCTATTTGCAGGCCACTAGACAGGGTCTGAATTAGAAGTAAAGACTTCGCATAGTTTCTCATTAAAATATTACATAAAAATTTATTTACACGTCGGGAAGTTCGGAAATCAATTCCTTAACGAGACATCGACAATAGTTAACAAGGATCAAATGAAAATTGGATTATACAGATGACATCATCTGTATTTTTAACATTAATCCAATGTTAATTGAATTAAAAAAATAAATTTAAAATCTACACACGATATTTTTATTATGGGTGTTTTTTACTTACATAGCTTAAAGCTTTTTCGGCCCACCCCGAGCCATTATCAGAGCTTTAGAGCTTCGGCTTGATGGCTCGGGGTAGGCCGAAAAAGCTTAAAGCTATGTAAGTAAAAAGCACCTATAGTAAATGTATAGTGCCCAGATTTTAAATTTGATGTTTTAATTCTAATTAATGGTAATACTCCAAAAATGTTTGAACAATGTCAATTGAATGCACATACATCTTGTTCAGGAGTTGATTTTCAGACTTATGTGATTGTTGCATTATGTGATTTGTTTTCCTTGTGAAATTTTGAAGAGAAAGCATGTTACGTTGTACTTTACACGGAAAAAAATTAAATGCTGATTCAGCATTTAAATTGTTTAAAAAATGCCCATCAAGTTTCAAATGCTGATTTTACGATACAAAAATGCTAAAACAACATTTGAATTTGTTCGTTTTACAGTGGGCGTAGTTAAGTTAGTATTTCTCCAAATGTAAAATCAGCATTTGAAACTTGTCGGACATGTTTTTAACAATATAAATGTAATATCGACAAATAATTTTTTTCCGTGTAATTCAAACCTAGTCTAGAGACCCATTATTCATGGAGCTATATCCACGTTGCAACCCCGCGAAGAGGACCTGGACCTATCGCTTATCCGTTGAACCCGCGCGAGCCTGCAATGTTGGTGTAATTATGCTTACGACGCATTCCCGGATTCCCGGCAGACCGCGCGCTGACCCCTATCCGTGTCCCATTCGACCCCCCTATCCGTGTCCCATTCGACCCCCCGAGCCCCACCTGAACCCCTCCGGCTCCACCCGCGATACAATCGTCAATCATTCGGCTATTTTTTGTTTCGAATGAACTCCCCGGAACATTCATCATTGACGCGGCGATCCGACAGATAAACGTGCAAAACATTCAATCGGACGTTTTTGAAAAATGGGCGCCATTCATTTTTGCTCCTGAGTCGGACGCGGATACAGATTTTAATTGTTCCCGGCCGGGAGTTGTTGATTCGGACTGCTTTAATCTTTTAATCTCAATGAAGGTAATTAAGCAAACACCCGAGCTGGGGAGTCGGGCCCCGAAATTGATCAAAAACCATCGGCATGGAAGAGCATTGTGCGCGGATGTGTTAATTAATGGAATCGAGGATACACCGTGTTGTGTTTTTCGGCCGATTCAACGGCCGGGTTATTATACTCTTGGATCAAAGTAAACGTGGGCCTGGCAAAAAGTTGACGGAGCCTTTTTCAAGGTTCAATTTTTGCCTGCCCTTCATTGAAAACACGAGTTCTTCACTATTCATAAAATCTCGCCTGAACACACAGCGCTGGATTGTTGCATCGTTATCGAATGACCTTAATCGATAATTGGACGTATTTACGCTAAATGGAACTATGTGCGAGTGAAAAGATGGGGTGTGCTCGTTAGTTGAAGGTCATAAGAATGGATGGGAATTTAAAAGCGCCAGTGACGTCAGCGGCAGCGACGAGAAACCGTACGACGGGGAGATCTGTGGCGGGACTCTTTAACTTTATGAGCCCTGTCCACAAAAATCTTGTTACATGCCCACGGCTTACGAGTTCCTTTTGATTTAATGTCAAATATCCCGCTTTTCCATTTTCTCAAAAGGAACTATATCCACTGACCACTTTGTTTCTTATAAAGCTTGCACGAGAACACCCAATCTTTCCACTTGAAAATAGTTCCTCTTAGCATAAATACGTCCAATGAACACTGCTAAGATAGGGATATGTTGACAGGATCATTCTATATAGATTCAATAATCGACCCACAGGTGTGTTTATTAGGACCTTTTATTCTAGGATAAAAACGGTGTGATGCTAGAGACACACTCATGTGAATTTAGTTAGTAAGACAAGAGGTAACACTAAAAATGTGACCCGAACTATAAGTATTTAATTGCAACAGTGCTAGATTCACACTATTCTGCGGGAAATCAATGTTAAAAAATTTCAAAATTTTTCATGGTATTCAAAAATTTGGACTCCGATGAGTGTCAGTGTACAACTGAAGGTGAGGATTGTTCAGCTCAAGGAAATTCTCTGGAATACAAGCGCTGCTGCTTAGCTGGGGTCTCGCCTAGAGATCTACATCAATTTGGGTCTTGGTTAGTTTTGAGTTTTAGTTATTAAGCTTAAGGTTCTTCCTTGGGACTGTTTTGGAGACGACTCAGGGATATTGCGGAAAACAATGTGTCGCTCGTCACGCAAAACTTGTACCTTACAAAATAAAGGTCCAAATGAAAACACATACACGAATTTATTTGGACTCTCCTCAAATAAGAGAATTTTGGCGAAAACGAAAAAGGCGTCTGAGAAGATTTCTTGCAGGCATGGAAGAGGTAGAACATTTCAAATTGGAGGGTTTGGGATCTTGGTGGACACCCACATTCCTCGACACAAACTGAGAATATGTGTAGTGATTATAACTCTGGATTTCATGCCGAGTGTGTGAATGCGGCTGTTAGAACGAACATATTTGCGAATTGATTCCATGTCAGATTTCTAAAGAGAGGAAAGCGGGGTTTTGAATGGTTCTGGAAAACTCACCTGAACACTGTTGCTTTCTATGACGTCCGTGGATACCATCTGAGTGCCATTGAACCACGTGACGTTGGCGGCTGGCCTGGCGCCAGTCACAAGGCACTGAAGAACGACTTTGGTCCCTGAGACCACGTGGTTCTCTACACCACTCAGCTCTAATCTTAGCGGCCTCACTGGAACAAAAAAAAGAATAATTTAGTTGTACTAAAAAATTCCCGTTCACAAGAACTTGGTATTCTAGAGTTAAAATAGAAAAATTATTAAATTGGCGATTTACATTTTATTTTATAAAAAATCACCCATCTAAATCAACTAGAATATAGACGGATTTTTCTGTCATTAGTAAAAATATTCTTTGAAATCGTCATGCGAATACACCAGATTGCTATTTTTCGAAAAACAGAAAAGTTGAAAGAGGCATTGGTATACTTTACTTCTTGAAATGCATATATAATTTTAAAATTTCATTGTCGATTATTTGATGTTGCAAATCAATGAAATGATTTAACGAAGAAGTAAAGCTCTTTATTTTTTCCACTTGATCATTTGGTTGCCTATTTCCCGCCTCAGGTCATAAGGTAATTCAATTTTGACATTGAAAAAAATATGAATAAATTAGTTTTAAAAAAATCGGATCGTTTATGTACAGACCATGAAATTAAAGAGTAGTGATATTTTAGGCAAATAATAAAACTACAATTTAAAATTAACTATGAAGAAATGGTATGCGTTAGAAGAAGACTCCATGATACGTTTTTGAAGAATTACATCCATATTTATTGTGATTTTTTTACGTTTAAGTTTTCTTAAGCTATGAATAAGCCTCGGTCAAGGCAGAAATCAAGTGAAAATAAGGGAAAAATAAACTCTGAAGATTTTAATTGAATATTGGGTCAGTACGAATGAGCAACGCAATAAGACTTCCAATGCAACTGGTAAGGGTTATTAGCAAAGGAGGAACAGTTTTAGAACCGTTCCGTTAAAGAACCAACCCTCGGGACGATATATGGTTGCGAAAAATAGCGCTGAAAAGTCAGACAGATGTGGGTGAAAAAACTCGAAAGACCGATTGCCGTTCAAATCGTCTCAACGATGGAGAGGTGAGGTGCAGAATAACCCCCTACTTTTTCAACCGAGGCGAAAATACAAAAAAAAGCAAATAAAAAAGCGGGCGCGCGAGGTACGTAGGAACAGAAAACGCGTGAAACAAACGGATGTGATGGACAATCGAACCTTACTCCTACACCCATCAATCTTGAGCACTGACTAGACGTTGAATATGGGCTATGGTTGCCACTTGGATGGAAAAAAAATAAAATAACTGCGAGTCGTCTTAGGATGCTGACAATCCAGTGGTAGATAAAATTGTTTCATAAATTGCAATACAGCCTTAAAAATAATCATAGCGTTATCTTGATTCCAAAACGTCGCTAACAAATTTGGTTAGGATCTCCCTCTGAACGACAATTCTAAATTTGCTCCCGGGATGTTCCTTCGACAACGAAAGGAGTAATTCAAATCAGTTTTCAGGTTCTGAGGTTGGAAACTCTCAGGTAATGACCATTTTGAACCACTATTCAGGGCATAATGTTACACAGTGAGTATCATTAGCAAACATTTGAAATGTCTGGGAGATGATCTTTTCTTGAATAAAATAGGGTAGTAAAAATGCCGTGCTGGTGGGAAGAATCTTTACGAAACGTTTTTTGAAGGGGAATGAGCTTTGGTGACAGGAATATCAGAAGGTAAGAAAAATGTATCTACATTCGAGAATAATGTCATCTGACGACTTCGACGAATAAAATGCAACAAATATCCACGAAAATAAAAAAAAATCTACAAAAAACCAGACACTAAAATGCAACCAAAAAACCAATGATTGTCCCTAAGCTTGCTGAAAATCCTCTCTAAATAGAAACACTAAACCGAAATTTTTTTGCGGATTTTACTTTAATTCGTTTGGATACGGGTTGGAAGGTAAAATTTAGTGGTGATACTATCTAATTGTAAGTTTTGCCGAAAAGTGATTATTTTCCGTTTTTGTATGTAATTCATTTACAGTATCAAACATGATGACTTTTTTCCTTTCAAATTAAAGCGCAAATGTTGAGGAAAAGCTAATAATTCTCCCTGGATAGACACACTCAGCCGTGTTTTTTTTTCCTGGGCGGATTTTACTTTCATTCTTTTGGATGCGGTTTGAAAGGTGAGAGTTTCGTCGGAAAGTGCTCTCGCGCTTTTTTGATCCTATACCGGGTGTCCATAAAGTAACTGAAAAGTGGGTATAACTTTTGAACAAAAAAAGATAGAAGGTCGCGGTTTGTGGCATTCTTCATCATCCAAAAGGGGAAATTTTTCGATTGGGGGCTTTTCCTGGTGGACCCCCCTGGGGGGGCCCCAGGGGGGGCAACTTCAAAAATTCAAATGGCAACCCCCATTTTTTTAGACATGATTAAAAAGAACTTAAAAAGACAAGAAAAATGGCGCAAATAAAATTAAAATCGGTCATTTCGTTCAAAAGTTACAGCCGGTCAAAGTTTCAAATTGACCACTTTTCAAAAAATCGCCGATGAGCTCCAAATTATCGGAAAAACAAAAACAAACCGGGAATGAAAAGTTTAAAAAGTGCTTTTTAGGAAGAGGAAAAACAACTGACGTTGTCACAAGTCTGGATGGAATTGTTTCAAAATAAAATTTCGGAAAATTCAACATGGCGGCAAATTTGAGGAAACGCAAAAAATGAAAATTCCAGAAACTGTTATCCTTCAAATACCCTCTAGTTTAAGGAAATCAAAGGTATCAACTTTTATTCCTTTATTTGGCCAAGTAAGAGCAAATTTGCTGACTTACAAGTTGTCAAGCGGGGCGCCTTCAATCGTTGGAGTATGCGACATCACAGGATTAAGTGTGCTGTCGAAAAATGAAGCCGATGTGAAAAAGTGCTCCTCCTTTGGGATGCTTTAGAAATTTTTGAGGTCCTCCTCCTCAAATTTAACGAGAAAAAAGAAGAAAAGTAAAATTTAGCAATTTTTACCCACAAACTTGGCGAGCCAAAAAAACATGGTTTATCCTGGTGGGGTAGGGGCGGTGGACATTTTTGACATTTCTCTCTCTGAAAATTAAAAATCCAAGAATAATTTTAATTCTCTAACTCCTGGCACTCCAATTTGGCAAGGAGGGTATCTGCTACGCTTCACCGTGTCACCGATCAGATAGTGCATCAGATGTTACCGAAAAGATTGGTGTCTCAAATCGTAAGGTTGAGATTGTCAATAAGATAATCTCAATTCAGATAATAATCAAGAGTAGAACGGCGTCTTCGGAATTGGAAGCGTAGCAGATATCCTCCTTGCCGAACTGGAGTGCCAGGAGTTAGAGAATTAAAATTATTCTTGGATTTTTAATTTTCAGAGAGAGAAATATGTCAAAAATGTCCACCGCCCCTACCCCACCAGGATAAATCATGTTTTTTTGGCTCGCCAAGTTTGTGGGTCAAAATTGCTAAATTTTACTTTTCTTCTTTTTTCTCGTTAAATTTGAGGAGGAGGACCTTAAACATTTCTAAAGCATCCCAAAGGAGGAGCGCTTTTTCACATCGGCTTCATTTTTCGACGGCACACTTAATCCTGTGATGTCGCATACTCCAACGATTGAAGGCGCCCCGCTTGACAACTTTTAAGTCAGCAAATTATTGCTCTTACTTGGCCAAATAAAGGAATAAAAGTTGATACCTTTGATTTCCTTAAACTAGAGGGTATTTGAAGGATAACAGTTTCTGGAATTTTCATTTTTTGCGTTTCCTCAAATTTGCCGCCATGTTGAATTTTCCGAAATTTTATTTTGAAACAATTCCATCCAGACTTGTGACAACGTCAGTTATTTTTCCTCTTCCTAAAAAGCACTTTTTAAACTTTTCATTCCCGGTTTGTTTTTGTTTTTCCGATAATTTGGAGCTCATCGGCGATTTTTTGAAAAGTGGTCAATTTGAAACTTTGACCGGCTGTAACTTTTGAACGAAATGACCGATTTTAATTTTATTTGCGCCATTTTTCTTGTCTTTTTAAGTTCTTTTTAATCATGTCTAAAAAAATGGGGGTTGCCATTTGAATTTTTGAAGTTGCCCCCCCTGGGGCCCCCCCAGGGGGGTCCACCAGGAAAAGCCCCCAATCAAAAAATTTCCTCTTTTGGATGATGAAGAATGCCACAAACCGCGACCTTCTATCTTTTTTTGTTCAAAAGTTATACCCACTTTTCAGTTACTTTATGGACACCCGGTATATAGTCCCTTTATACTGAGAGTTAAGACAACACCCCCCTCATGGAGTCACAAACGGGAATAAAGATTACACAAATTGAAAGTTCTTCGTAATCTTTGGTCGGCTCATTCTCGAATTCCTTTCTCCGTTCCTCCTCTCATTCCGCTTTACCCATTTCGTCAACCCGTAATTCCTCGGTCAATTCCAGATTATAATCTTTTCAATTGGTGAAAATTTAATCTTTATTCCCGTTTGTGACACCGTAGAGGCCTAGAATACGGTAACCAATCGGAAATGGAGTCACACTGTCCTAACTCTCAGTATAAAAGGGACTTTAATCCTACACACTTCGAATGTACGCCGATTTCTGATAAAAATCGAGTAAATGGGAGATGTGGCAGGAGAGGGGTCATTGGATTTGAGCCGGCGGTGGATCCACCCTTGGGCCGCTCCTCGATGGACTCGGACCCGGTCCCTCGGGGATCATAGACGCTCATCATTAAACACGACCTCGCAATTTATGGTTCCGCCTTCCCGCGCTACACCAGTTCACCTCTCTCGCAGTTCACCCGAGTTTCCACCATTGTCTCGAAAGACCACCTGATTGATGAACCATCTTCCCAGTACGAATTCGGAAATCACTCCTGGAGCTGGATTTTTGACCTTGACTCCATCACCTCTTATTTGCACTTCATTTTGTTATTCAGGACTACAATTTCTGGCTCATAGGTACAAACACTTATGTGCAGAGGGAAACTACTGGTGCATATCGACGGTGAAAGTCGGCAATCACATAACTCGGTTTGCGACGTCGCAGACTTCCTGTCATACTTTATTTTTTAAATGGAAAACGACTCAACGGCAATTCTTTAAAACTGTCATGATTTTTCTTCTCAATGCGAAGAAAATTCTGCAAA